TCGCCGCCGGAGCCGAGTTGTCCGACACGATTGCCCATGCAGCTCGGCACGCGGACTGCTTGCGCAAGATCATGCACGACAACTTCGGCGACCGCCGCGGGACATAGCTGGGATATTTCGTTCGCAGGGCGGCCCTGTCGCTGGAACCTTGCATTGTCGATGAGGAAGGAAAGGAGGGGGAGGAAGAGGAGGGGGGGGGGGCAGGAAGACGAGGACAATGTGTCCCCATAAGCATTGGGCATTTGGCTGTCGTCATATGTTTGCTCGGCCTGTCCGCTTAAAACCGGCGCGCCGGCCCATCCGCTATCGTTTGGCTGGTTTTGCCGGGTTCCCCGGGCAACCTCAACAGCAAACTCTCTGTGGCAATCTAAACGGTCGACGGCCGGGGGTCCTCCAGCCTTGCGCCGGAGAGATCCCCCATGTTCCAGGGAGGGCCTCCAGGAACATCGGCCTGGCAGGGCGTCTGGGGTGGACTCGGCAAGCCCCTTCATCCACGGGAGGGGGTGGAGGGGGAGGAGGAGGAGGAGGAGGGGGGGGGAGGAGGAGGCGGAGGAAGAGGAGGGGGGGGGGGAGGAGGACGAAGAGGAGGAGGAGGAGGGCGGGCGACTTGGGGGGAGTGCCGGCCACGGGTGGCTGGCAGGCCAATCCCGCGAACCCAGTCGAGGTTCGAGCCTGGAGGCGTGAGGGTCGAGGTTCGGGGCGTTTTGGTTGTCGGGGCCCTCTTCGTCGCCGCGTCTGGGCGCAGGTAGAAAAATCTGCCCGTTGATGCCGCGGGAGGGGGTTCGGGGGGTTGAACGTATCTTGGCAACGACGGAAATCTTCATAGCTCTGATTCCACAAATGTTTGCGCCCAACCTCTGGGGGGCGTCTGATGGTGTCGCGGTCGTTGCCCGCCTGCCCTGAGAGGCGTGGAATGCATCGCCCTTCCCAGGTCGGGCGGGCGCGTGCCGCGACACCACGTGGCGCCCCCCAGCGGTGGCTTGGTAATTCACAGCAGGCGAGTTCAAGACGACCCTCGTCAACGCCCCGCAGCAGCTGCAGGCCAAGGGGGCGGAGAACGCGAAGGCCATCGTCGAGGAGCTCTTCCAGTACGGCATAAGCAACGTCAAGGAGGCAGAGCTGACGCCGAAGAACAATTCCTCGACTCTATTCTTCCGGGCGCTGGCGGAGGCTGCGTCGGCTCGCGGTGACCTCTCAGCTCTGGCTAAGGAGCTCGACGTCGTCGTTGGTCTCGGCGACTACGCCGAGTTGTCGAAGTTGGCGGGCGCGGTGAAGCTGGTGGACGAGTCGGCGGCGGGCAGCTCGACCGAAGGCCGCGGCATCATGACCTGGGTCACCGAACATGACGGTGGCAAAATGATCGTGGCTGCGGCGCGGGAGGTCTCGACGAGGGCAGCCGGCCAGTTGAAGTCGCAAAAAGAGCTCGAGGATCAGGCGAACATGTTTGACGATCTGATCGCCGACTTGTCCGCAGATGCCGTTCCCAAGCAGATTGGCCTGGCGCGTGTTCGGGGGTAGCAGATGTCCAGAAGGCCATCGACAAGATCTCCAAGGAGAAGGCCATGAAGAAGCAATGTGACCTCATCCTCTATCACATCCAGGAGCAGGTCTACGAGTACGGCATGGGGTACTACAACTTCGTGCTCGCGCGCGCGCTCGCGGGGGCTTCGGAGTTAGAGGTGCTTGGCTTTTCTGCCGGGTTCGATGTTGGAGGGGAGGAAGAGGAGGAGGCGGAGGAGGAGGGGGAGGAGGAGGAACAGGAGGAGGTGGAGGTAGGAGAAGGAGCAGGCCGAGGGCTATGATCGAACATGCACAGGAAAATGACGAATGTGGCGATGGCGAAGGCGAGGGCGACGACGACGACGACGACGACGTCAGCGACGCAGACGACGACGACGACGGCGATGAAGACGACGACGGCGACGCAGACGACGGCGATGATAATGATGATGATGCCGACGGCGACGCCGACGACGACGGGCGTTGACGACGGCGACGGCGACGACGACGACGGCGGTCTCTTTGGACCCCGCAGGGAGGTCTGGCAGCAAACGGGCGGACCCGATGTGGGCCGTCGCACTTGGACCGAATGCGGAGCGGATCAAAGAATGTTATGTTGAGGCCCTTTCGGCCCGTCCGGGAGCAGGTCGGATCCGCGGATCCGATGGTGGGCCGCCGTGCTTGGACCGACTGCGGGGACATGGCGGCGCCGTGCAGTGCCGCGCCGTGACGGGGATGGGGGGTGGGCTTTGAAAGGGGAGAAGCGTGTCGGGGGGAAAACAGTTCTAGGTTGGTGGCCTGGGGGGGGCCCGCGTTGCATCGGGGCCGCGCCCGCAACAGGTGGGGCCGCAGTCGCCCGGGTCTTACTCATCGGTCATGAGCACGGTCCTCGATGCGACGTGGCTGGCGGCGTTGCAGATGGAATAAGACGCGGTGGAGGCCGTTGTCGCCGTCTTGGACGCGGTGCGCAACGGCGGGGAAGAGCCGGGCCAGAGATTCGCAGTTTTCCCTGATGAGATCAAGAGAATTTTACCCCGGCAGATGGAGTGTCCAATTCCTGCGAATTTCGCCAATATCAACGGTCTCAAATGGCGCTCTGATGTTACCGCGGCGAAGGGGGAAGAGCAGACTGTCGACCCGACGGGGGTGGAGCGGTTGGCTGAGATCGACAGGTGCCTCGGAATATGCTCGGATCTGGCGAACCCGCCCCGCCGGCCTGCCTGCGTTCCCGATGTCAGCCTGTTCTGGCGGGGGCGAACCGAAAACCCAGGGGGGGGGGGGAGGGGCGGAGGAGGAGGAGGAGGATGTGCATTGTTCATTGGTTGTCCCTCTTGTCGTCCTTGTTCCCCACCGCTGTGGTTGCGTTTCTCTTGCTGCCTCTGCTCCTGGGGCGGGCGCAAAACTAGGTGACCGCCCCTGCTTGTGCCCTGCCAATCGGGTGCCTGCGGGGCTCGAGTATCAGGCTTCGAGCGGGGGCGGGACCGTAGACCTGGGCCCGCTTGCGTGCCTGCTCCCCTTTCCCCCCCCTCCAGCTTGAAATCTCGGCCATATATCCTCCGCGCCCTCAGCGCCCCCGATCGCCCTTGAGCGGCGGGGCTGGCGGGTTCCGACAGCACTACAAGGCCGAAGAGACCAGGAAGATCCAGACGATCGGTGGCGTCCTCAAGCATCTCTTAGCCCGAGATGCCACTCGACCCGGCGATCTGGAGGCCATCGGCCCCGCGGAGGCGCGGGGGAGGAGGAAAAGGGGGAGGTGGAGGAGGAGGAGGATGATGATGATGATGAGGAGGAGGAGGAGGAGGGGGAGGTGTCATGATTTCTTCAACCCGGGTCCCCGGTGCCCCCTGGAGGTGCCGAGTGCAACCCCGGGAATGAGTTTTTCTCCTTGATGGGTCGATTCTGGCAGGTCGCGGGGCCCTTTGAGAATTCCCCGAGGCCGAAAACGCCGACACAAATCCGCATTGAACAAATCGGGACGTGGGAGTTCTGCAGAAGGATAGGGCCCCCCCGAACCCAGCGCGGCCGCGCAGGGCCACGTCGGGCGCGAGGCGCCACTCTTACGTGCGCGCGCGGTCCCGGGAACCCTCCGGGCGGTGCGGCGGGTTGCCAGCGTCCTGTTCGGGGGGCGTCGTCGTCGTCGCCGCCGCCGCCGCCGTCGCCGTCGTCGTCGTCGTGGTCGCTGCAGCTGGGCCCCCCGAATCGTGAACAGATCGCGACGGGAGGTTCCAGTTTCCCCGTCGTGTGCATGGGTTCCGGGGGCCTTTGCCTGGCCCCAGGGCCATCGAAAAACTTATCAGGATGAAAAACCGGCCCGGGGGAACCGTCGGGACTTCGGGTGCCCGCGTCGTAAACAATCAATTGGTTTGAATTATTCGGCAATGTTTGGCCAGCAACCCCTTTTAGTTGGCATTGGGTTCGCGGTCGGAGCTGTTGGCTTGCCGCCCGCAGGCTTTGGCCAGGGAGGTTCCGGGCGATGCGGGCGTGGCGCGCGAGAGCATCCTCAGGGCATTGCGGCCGTGGCTCGACTACCGTAATGTCGACAGCGCTGGTTCCGCCTTGAAAGTATTCGAGAAGTCCGCCCTCGTGAAAAAGGAGGATTGCAAGGTGATGCTCGCGGACCTCACCCGCAAGCTCGATGACCCGCGGTATATCCCATACTATGAATCTCGGGAGGGGGGCCAGTCGAGACAACGGAATTTGACGATCGGGGGCCCCCTCGTCGCCACGGCGTGCGGCAGCGTGGAAAACTGGTGCGTTTGGGCTCCGCGAGGGGTCGCGAGGGGTCCAAGGGTCCATTTCGAGCTGCCGTTGTCTCAGCCCGCCCTGCTCCAACCATCGCTCGGCTTCGAGGACAGCGTCGGCCTCATTAAGAGTTTCGTCGGCCGCGTCAACGAGCACATGGAGTCCGTGGCGGCCAAGGACACGGAGGCCCTGGTGACAAAAATCAAAGCCTCGCAGAAGAAGATTGATGCCTTGTTGAAGAAGATTCCTGACCCGGACAAGGAGGAGCAGGGCTTCGTGGACGGCATGGTGGCGGAGTCGAAGAAGCTCGAGAAGGATTTTCTCCTCCTTCGCCTCTGCCACCTCGCTGGTCGCGAAGTCTGTCTCCTCAGGAGAAGGGGGTATTGGACAAGGCCGTCCAGAAGCTCGATAAGATCCACGACAAGTCGAAGGGCCCGGAAGACCCCACCGCGGCCGTCATCGACACCGCGAAAGAGAATGTCCAGGATCGCCCGTGACAAATCTTAGGGAGCGGCTGGTTTTCAAAGTGGGGCTCTCGCCGTGGCGCCGCGGACATTCGTTCCCGAAGTTTGCAACGGTTACAGGGGCAGAGAGCGGTTCCTTTCCAAAATGGGGCTCTCGCCTCGGCGTCGCGGACAGTCGCCCCAAAAGTTTGCATCCGCTGTAAGGGTGGAGGGCGGTTCCTTCTCAAAATGGGGCTCTCGCATGGGTTCCGCGGGCATTCGTATGTTTGCCTCAGTTACTGGGATGGGGGGCGGCCGGTTTTCAGAATGGGGCTCTCGCCTTGGCGCCGCGGACATGCGTCTCGAAGTGTGCAGCAGTTGCAAGGATGGAGGGTGGCCCGTTGCTTTCGCCTTGGCGCCGAAGACATTGGTCTCCCCCCTTGCGTGGCACCTTTGTTTGCCCCCCTTCCGGCCCGAAAGCGACGTTCCTGATCTCGTACTACGCGTTCATCAGCATCCTTCGCTCGCCGGCGCTGCCGGACAAGAAGCAGGTCGCGCTCCGCACCAACTTCACCGCTGTGGCCAGGCAGATCGGCAAGGAGAGGGTGCCCGAGCAGGTCTGGAAGGAGGCCCTGAAGATCGTGCCCCAGATTGGCAACGAGCCGGCGGCCGGCGCTCTGAAGGAGGTCTGAAGGATTCGCGGCGCGGAGAGGGCCGCGAGGTCGGCGCAGGTTGGCGGACCTTGGCGACGAGCCCGGGGGGGGACGAAAGGGGGGGCCTATGAGCCAGTTGGGAAAACCTTTCGATCTCGAAAACTTTCCGAGGGCGCGGCGGGCTTCCCCGGGAGGCCGGGTGGCATCTGTACAATCCCGCCGCCTCCTGAGAAGGCGCGCCCCCCCCCGCTCCCCCCCTGGGTTCGCCGCCCGGGGCCAGTGTTTGAAAGTTTCTGGCGTTTCTGGCCTTTTCCAAGCCCCCCGCCGACGCGGCTGGATTTGCCTCGAAATTGCTATCTTCATGTTTCCAAAATCAAGACCGCGGGGCAATTTTTTGCACCCCTGGGCCGAATTCTGCGACGCCCCTAAAAAACGCGACCCCCAGTGCTCAGAATTTTCAGGGCAGCCCTCCAACTTTTCGAGGGCCGCGGAGCGGTGCGACGGTCCGAGCGGGAAGCCGCCCGCTTGCACCCGCCCCCGCCGCCGGCGCGGCGGCCCGACGCGGGCGAATCAGGAGGGGCAGGAGGAGGAGGAGGAGGAGGAGGAGGAGGAGGAGGAGGAGGAGGAGGAGGAGGAGGAGGGGCACCCCAACAGCAAACTCTCTGTGGTAATCTAAACGGTCGACGGCTGGGGGCCCTCCAGCCATGCGCCGGAGAGATCCTCCATGTTCCAGGGAGGGCCTCCCGGAACATCGGCCTGGCAAGGCGTCTGGGGTGGACTCGGCAAGCCCCCTTATCCACGGGAGGGGGTGGAGGGGGAGGAGGAAGGTGGAGGAGGAGGAGGAGGAGGAGGAGGGGAGGGAGGAGGAGGAGGAGGAGGAGGAGGAAGGCGGGGAAAGGGGGGGTGAGAACGTGGTGGGCGAGGGCCAGGAGGGCGAGGAGGAGGAGAACGACGACGACACGGAAGGGGGGGAAGAATGGAGGGGGGATTGGGAATTGAGATGAAGGAGGAGGGGGGACGGGGAAGGGGGGGAGGAGGGGAGGAGGAGGAGGAGGAGGAGGAGGAGGAGGAGGAAAAGGGCGACGACGACGCGGGCGAGGACGAAGTAAAGGAAGGGAAGGGTGCGATGACGTCTCGTTGCCCGGAGCGCGCTTCGCCCGCCCTGCCCGGCGCGCGTTCGCGGGAGCGCGCGCGGCAGGTGGACCGCGCTGCCCGCCGCGCCGCGGCAGCCGTGGAGGGAGGCCATTCCTTGGACTGGAGGGGCCTCCGCGCTCTGGCAGGAAAACTGGCCAGTCCCGGGGGGGTGCGACCCACGCGTCCAGCGAGACGATTTTTCCGGTGCGCGGGCCCCTGGAGCTCTCGACCACATCCGTTGGGTCAGGCCGTTCATCCTGAAGGGGGCTCGGCCCCCGTACCCTGACCAGGCCAGCACGGCCACCGAACATGAAAAACAGGCGCGCCGATATTATCGAACGCTGCATGCGTGGGGGGTCCACGGTGCAGGTGTTCCTTCCTCCTCCTCCTCCTCCTCCTCCTCCTCCTCCTCTTCTCCTCCCCTTACCGCTCCTCATGGCTCAAACCTGGGCTCAAAGCTTGACCGCCCCCTCTCCGCGCGTCGGCCTGTAGGCCCCGCGCGCATCTGGTAGCGGAGCCGACGCCGCACTTGCGACACCGAGATCATCAAAGCTATTTTTGTCGCGCATATGACATCGCGAGGGGATTGAGCGGTATTTCTTGAAATTCTACGACAATTTGATAAACCTGCCGATTACATTTCGGCAGCTTGAGAACAATTTGATAAATATACTTACAATGTTCGCACATGTTGAAACAATTTGATAAATATTTCTTGTTCCCCTTCGTAACCTTGAAACTATTTTATAAATATTATTCGCGCCCTTGTGAAACAATTTTCTCGCCCGGCCCGCGATTTCGTTGAAGAGCGCTCTAAGCTCTACTAATGCATGTATGTGTATGTATGTATGTATGCAGGCGTGCATGCATGCATGCATGCATGTATGTATGTGTGTGGATGTATGTATGTATGTATGTATGTATGTGTGTGTATGTATGTGCGTGTGTGCGTATGCACGTATGTATGCGAAGGTACGTGTGTGTACTTGTGTATGTATGTATGCATGCATGCATGCATGTTTGTATGGATGTATGGAGATATGGATGTATGGACGTATGGATGTATTGATGTATGTATGCATGCACGTGTGTGTATGCATCTACGTATGTATGTATGTAGGTAGGTCGGTAGGTATGTATGTATGTATATGTGTGTATGTGTGCATGCATGTATGTATTTGTGCATGCATGCATGCATGCATGCATGCATGCATGTATGTATATATGTATGCACGTATGTATGTATGTTGTATGTATGCCTGTGTGTATGCATGTATGTATGTACGTACGTGTGTCCGTCTGTCTGTATGTATGTATGTATGCACGCTTGCATGTATGTATGTATGCATGTATGTATGTAGGTATGTATGTACGTATGCATGCATGCATGCATGCATGTATGTATGTATGTATGCATGTATGTATGTATGTATGTATGTACGTATGTATGTATGTATGTATGTATGTATGTATGTATGTGTGTATGTGTGTGCGGGTGTATGTATGTCTGTTTGTTTGTTTGTTTGTATGTATGTATGTATGTATGTATGTATATGTCGATGTATACATATATATATATATATATATATATATATATATATGTATGGTGTATACCTATGTATGCATACACGTATGTGTGTGGTGGGGGAAGGAAGGTATACCTTTTTGTGCCCTAAAGGGTCCCCCCCGGGGCCCAAGAGGGGCACGAAAGGTGCACGTTTCTCCCTTCTCCCATGGATCGCCCCCAGGAGGGCACCCCCCAAACTCCAGGGGAACGACCGTTGCCAACCCAGGTCGGGCCGCACTGAGCCGGGTCAGTGCCAAGCCAGGCCAGTCGGGCTTTGCAGGATCTTGCGCGCATGCCCGGGTCCATGCACCCCTGGCTCTGCAGGATCCTGCAAGATGTGGCGCTCATGCTGAACCCCCGCTTGCATTGACCCCGTCTCAAAGCTCCCGAGAACAATCGTCGGCGGTGGGCGAGGGGGGAAAGTCAGAAGGAGATGGCCTTCTCAGACGGCGGCGGGACTTCTCTCAGGCCCTCGCGCCTTCTGAGAAGTGTTTTGTGCCCTCGGGCTCGGCTTTGAGCACTTCTCGGAAGGCCGGGGGACTTCCGAGCCTTCGGAGAAAACCCGCCCCTTCTCAACGGCCCCCCGAGCTCGCCGCCGAAATGAGGGCAGCCTCCGCACAGCCTGCGCGGTCCCTAGAGGTCTCGACTCCTTCCCCAGGCCTTCTTGTGACGGCCCCAGGGCCTGGCGAGGGCCCTCGGAAACCCAATAGTCGAATTTGTTTTGCAACGCGAGGGTGTCGGCGAATCGCGCTGTCGCCCTGCAAAAGCGCCCGGCGCGAGGTACGAGGACCACGCGCGCGCGCAGGCGCAGCTGGAGCGCCTCGAGCAGCAGCGCGACCGCTGCTCGGAGGAGCTCCGGCAGGAGGCCCGCGCGCGCGCCCCTTGCGTTGGGGGCGGCTCGGCTGCAGTCGGGACGCGGAAGCAGCTTGGCATCGCTCGGACGTGGGCATTTTTTTTTCCCGGCGAGGGCCATAGAGGGTCGAAGAAGACAAAGCGGCATAAACAAATTTTTAACGCTCCGCGCAGAGCGCCAAAAGTTTATGCTTATGCAGTTTTTTTTTTTTTTTTTTTTTTTTTTTTTTTTTTTTTTTTTTTTTTTTTTTTTTTTTTTTTTTTTTTTTCGTTGTCCTCGGCGAGGGCCACTTAGGAGCACCTTTGGTCGTTTTCGAACAGGGGGCGCACGAGATCGAAAAGCACGCGGGACTTGGGCGTCCGATCGACGGCAAGACGAGGAACAGATTGGGCTCGGACGAGACTCGATGTTCCTCAGGTCCTTCCATTGATGCTCTTCTGGCCCTCCTCGTGCACGCCTGCGCTTTTATCGGCGGCGAGCGAGGGGCGGGGGAAGTGAGAAGGAGGAGGCCATCTCAGAAGGCGGCGGGGCTTCTCAGAAGGCCGGGGGACTTTCGAGCCTTCTGAGAAAACCCGCTCTTTCTCTTTCCCCCCGAGGCTCGCCGCCGAAAGGCGCTGAAACAAGGAACACTGAGGGTCTGAAGGGGCTCGATGTTCCGTAAGGCCTTCTACAACCGCTCTGATTTTGGCCTTCCTCGTGCACGCAGGCGCTTTTGGGGGCCAACGAGGGGCCTCGTTCCTGATTTTCCCGCTCCTTCAGCCCGACTGTACGCGTAAGAGTGGCCTTTCGCCGGAGTGACCTTTGGTGCGGGGCCACAGGTCAGGAGGGGAAAAGACATACAGACACAGTTCATCGAAGATTCCGAGGAGGACATGGGAAAACTTGGGAAGTGGGGGGAAGACGAGCACCCAGAATATGTGGGGAAGTATAGCGGAATCCTGGGATCTGTGTGTATCTGTTTGTGTGTCCCTGAGCCACTTTCGAGTGACCCTTCGCCGGAGTGACCTGTGGTGCGAGGTCAAAATCGGGGGTGGACAGAACCCCCAAAAGTGACACGTCGATTATTGAATTGTCCGTTTTCGGTTCTCGAGAGGGCGCCGTGGCCGTTATTTTCCAGGCCTGCGCCCACCAGGTTTGGGCCTCAGGTCGTTTTCACTAAACCACGTTTTACTAAAGGGAGGTCTGTCCATCCCCAACAAAAGGGCACCCCCCAACTCTTGGCCTGCACGCCTGCTCCGCGACCGCCGCGACGGGCGCGCACCAGCGGCCACTCCCGACGAAGGCCACCTGCGTGTGGCCTGCGGGGGGCAGGTCAAAGTCAGACCTTGCCCCGTCGGAGGTGGGCAGACCTCCTACCCTCGGGGGCGGCAAAGAGGGGGGTGATGACTAGGGGGGGGGGGATATCATGGCGGGGGCCATGATATTTCCCCAGATTTCATGGCGCCCCTTCTTATTTCATTACGTCCCTGGCCCCCCCGCTGGGCCGCGCACGTGCCGCCGGTCATGATTTGCACCCCCCCCCTCTTGGACACCCCCCTCTTGGCCGCTCCCGACTACCCTGACACGTCGATTCAGGAATTGGCCGTTTTCGGCTCGCGGGAGGGCGTCGCGGCCGTCCTTTCTGCGGGTCCCGGTCCGTGGGTTTCGGTCCCAGGCCGTTTTCACGAAAGGGAGGTTTACTAAAGGGAGGTTTGTCCACCGCCTGCACAGGGGGGGCTCGGATGCAGCTCCTGGGAGGTCAAATTCAGATGTTGCCCTGGCCCAAACTCCAGCTCGATCCGGCCTATATCAGGAGGGGAAAAACACACAGACACTATGAATCGTCGATTCCCAGGAAAATATCGGAAAATATGGGGAGTGGTGGGGAAGACAAAAACCCAGAAAATGTAGGATAATGTGGGGAATCTTCATATTTGTGTGTATTTATTTGTGTGTCCCAGGGCCCCTTCACTATAATCCCGCTCAATCCAGCCTAATCCTGCTCGATTCCGCTCACTGCGGCTCGATCCCGCCTAGCTCCGAGGCCCACTCCGGCGCAAGAGCCCTCCAATGGGGCGTAAGTTTCCTTAGATCTTTCCGAGGAAGACCTCCCACCAGTTGCCTCCCACAGGTGGGATGCATCAACACCCAATCGCCCGCTGGTCGCCCAGAGGGGTCCGATAGCCCCAACCTGCCCAGGAAGGTGCGGATTCACTATCGGAGGCCTATCGCCGATCTGTCGGCGATGTATCGCCGATTCTAGGTCGATGCATCCCCCTCCTGTGCCATCCCCTCCATATCGCTGCCCCTCAGCGGGAGGGGCGGAGGGGGAGGAGAAGGAGGAGGCGGAGGAGGAGGAGGAGCAAGAGCACGAGGGAGATGGAGGAGGAATGGGGCGACGACGACGAGGACACCGAGGAGGAGAAGGAGGAGGAGGAGGAGGAGGAGGAGGAGGAGGAGCAGGAGGAGCAAGAGGAGGAGGAGGAGGAGGAGCAGGAGGAGGAAGAGGAGGAGAGGGACGGGGCGGGCCCCTCGTCGCGAAGACCTCCGAGGCAGCTCAGGCACGGACGAAGGCGCGCGGATCCGCGGCCGGGGCCCCGCTGCCGTGCAGCGTCGGCGCGCGCCGCTCCGTCGCCGCAGCGGGGCGGCAGTGGCCCTCCTGCCCGGGTGGCACAGCTGGCGCCCGCGCGCCAGGTCCGCGGATCCGTGGCCCATAGTATATAGCGTTGGGAGTCGGGGCGGCGGGGGAAAGTCAGGAGGGGCGGCGGGGGCGTGTTAAGCAAGTAGCGGCATCGGATCTACGCATTCTGCTACCCTCGCCTCGTTTTCCACTCTTTGGGCCTCCTTGGTGGCCCTCGTCGCCACCGCTGTCTTCGCATCGACATGCTGGTCAGAGCGCATCCCAGGAGAGGTCCAGGGAGTAGCGGTGTCGGTGCCTTTTGGCTTCCCAACATGCGGCGACTGTGGACAGCACACGCCGCCCCCACCCCCAGCCAGGACCCCCACTCCCGACTTGGTGATCCAGGGGGCTTGGCACGGGGGTGGGGATGTGTTTGATCCCAGTCAGGAGGGGAAAAACACACACAGACACAATTCATCGTCGACTCCCCAGAAAGTACGGGAATCTATGGGAAGTGGGGGGGAAGACAGACACCCAGAAAGTATAGGAAAATATGGGGAATCTGGTTATTTGTGTATATATTTATTCGTGCGTCCCTGGGCCCCTTCAGAAGGGGCCAGGGGCCGCTCGGCTCCCCTTGCCTCCCCCTCCCCTCGCGGGCCCCCGGCCCTCAGCTTTGGCCTGGACCGTGAGCGTGAAGTCGGGCCTGTCCCTCTACAGTGGGAAAATTCAAAAATAGTAAGTAGTCTGGGGACGTTTTTTGTTGTTTTTTTTTTTTTGGTGGGGGGCAATGTTCAAGTATTTATTTTTATTTTTTTTTCTTCTCATTTTTCGCTGAAAATCCCCCTGTAGGGGGACACGCCCGACTTAACGTTAGTTGCGGGGCAGCGCCCCGCACTAAACCATATAGCCCCACCGGGCCGTCGACCGCTGCCGCGCTGGCAGCAGCGTTCGCGCGAGAGAAGCCCCGCCTCCTTCTGAGAAGGCCTTTCCCTTCTCATCTGCACGAACGAAATGGGAACGGAAAGAATGGGTACAATGCCCACAAGCGGATCTTGTTCATTCTGAACAGGACTCGCTGTCCGCGCCGCCGCGGCCTGTGTCCATTCGAGACAGAAGGCCGCCTGCCCAACAGCGGCCGCTGTTGGTTTGGGACAATATTTGTTGTTGGGCATTGTACCCTTCTTTCCGTACCCATTTCGGGCGCCCAGGTCTCGCTTCCCTCCCTCGCTCACCGCCGGTTCTGAGCAGTCCTCTGAGCCTTCCCCGGAGACCCGGAGCACGTCTCCAAGGGCGCGAGGGCCGCCGAGAAGCCCTCGCCGCCTTCTGAGGACGCCTTCCCCTTCTCGCCCTCCCCCCTCGGCGCGCCGCCGAGTTCGGTTTGCGGGTCACAGCTCGGATCTCCGGTGGCCGTTCGGAACGATCCGGGCACCCTTCGACCGCCCTCGACGAGGCGCAGCCGCTGAAGCGCATCCCGAGGCCAGACGGCCGCCGAGCACCGACGAGAACGTCCCGACACCTCGAGCCTCGAATCCGAACCTCTCGCTGCCGAGATAGGGGTCGTTTAAAACGATGCTCAGCTGGTCCTCCCCCGCCTCGTCGTCGTCGTCGTCGTCGTCGTCGTCGTCGTCGTCCTCGTCCTCGTCCTCGTCCTCGTCCTCGTCCTCGTCCTCGTCCTCGTCCTCGTCGTCCTCGTCGTCCTCGTCGTCCTCGTCGTCCTCGTCGTCCTTGTCGTCGTCGGCGGGCCCCGAAGGTGGCCCGCCTGCGCGAGGAGGCGCGGGCCGCGGGCGCGGAGGCTCTGCGCAGGGCCTCCGCGCAGAGCGAGGACGCGGAAGCGCGGGCGCACGCGCTGAGGGCCCAGGCGGCGGCGGGCTCGGCGGGCGCGCTGGCGCCCGTGCTTGTCGGCGGCGGAGGAGGAGGAGGAAGAGGAGGAGGAGGGCGAGGGGGAGGGGAAGGGGAGGGGGAGGAGGAGGAGGAGGAGGAGGAGGAGGAGGAGGAGGAGGGGGAGGAGGAGGAGGAGGAGGAGGAGGAGGAGGAGGAGGAGGAGGAGGAGGAGGAGGAGGAGGGATGAGAGGGCGGGAGGGACAGGTCTCCAGCGATGTGATCTATTCAATCTGGGAGTTCTTCCAGATTTTGGCCTCCAGGGTCCATGATCGGGCTTGGGGGCCATCAAGACAGGAGCCGGGGCGCCAACTTGCCCCCGGGGAAGGGGTCGGTGGCTCCGGGGCCGCGGCTTGAAACGAACACATCGAACGAATGATGACTGGGGAGGGGCAAGACAAGATAAGATAAGACACGACGCGACACGACAATGCAAGACAGTGCAAGACAAGACAAGACAAGACAAGACAAGACAAGACAAGACAAAGTGTGACAAGAAAGCCGCGCGCCCGCGAAGAACGCGCGGGCAGAAAAACGCAACTAAAAAGTTGCCGGGTGCGGTGCCTCTAGGAGGGGGGGGAGAGGGGGGGGAAAGGGAGTGCACAAGAGGCTTCATATACTCAAACGAAGCTCCGAAGAAGTTGGAGCGTCTGGTTCTGGCACGCGCGGCCTCGGGGCGGGCCCCCTGCCTTGAAACGGCGGCTCAGGGCGAGAAGCCGGCCCCGCAGAAGTGGCCCAGACATCGGGGGGGTCCGCGCGTCGGCTAGAGTTGGAGCGCCGGATGCCTGGGGAGGAGGAGGGGCGAGAGGGAGGCTCTGCGAGGGGGGGGGGGAGGGGCCGGGGGACTGAGGAGGAGAGGGACCGAGGGGGGAGGAAAGGGAGGAAGGGGGCAACAGGAGCGACGGAGAGGGAGGAGGGGAAGGTCCCCCTCAAAGCCATTTCCCTCATCGATCTGGATGCTCGAAGCTCGTTCGTTTCTCGTTTTTCCATCCCCATTCTTCAGGATGCAACTCCTGGGGGGGTAAATTCAGCATCGGCGCTGGTATACTTTCTGTCTAACCCGACATAATCCCGTCGAGTTCAGTTTAGTCCAGCTTGATTTGGCTTGTTCGGGCTTAACCCCGGGCCGAATCTGGACCAGCTCGGCTTCATGGCCCATCATTAGTCGGGCTTTTTGCTAATAGTATCTGTTCCTTAGACGAAGTCCCCCCCGTAAGTTCACTCGTGGGGATAACCAAGCAGTGGTGCGTGCCCAGACCGTCGTTGCTTCCCCGTCTGTGATTTCTTCGCGCTAGGTCCTTGGTGCCAGTGATTTCCCGAGGTGCGGTGAGCCCGCGTCGTGTCGACTGGCGACGGCCCCGCCGCTGGCGTCAAACGTTGAACGCCGTCGGTGACCCAGAATCGGTCGATGTTGAAAGATCTGACGTTTCGGAGATGGCCGACCGTTCATTACGAGCCTCGAACTTATCCCTATCCCTAAGGTTGACACGCCAAAAAGCGATGACAGTCTTAGGGATTCGCCCTCAAAAAAAAGGGAATCCCTAAGATTGGCATCGTGATGAGGAGATTCCCAGCATAGGGAAAGGGATATGCTCCAGGCTGGTAAGTTCAAGGTTGGACGCCCCCCGCGGTGTCGGAAGACAACGTCGAAGCCGGCGCGACACGAACCCGCCGCATCGTTTTGCCTCGTCGGGCAGCCTGCGGGATCCTGCCGAGGCGATCGAGTTTCCCTCCGAGCGCCCCCCCAAAGGCGGAGGAGGAGGGGAAGGAGGAGGAGGAGGAGGAGGAGGAGGAGGTCCGTAGCCATTTTGGCTCAAGTCCGTAGCGGTTTCGGCTCGGACCTGACCTTACTGGCCTGGGGGAAAGCCGCGGCCCCCGACAGTGCACCTCCCTGCCTGGGTCAGGCGAGGTATTTTGCGATTCAGTGAGCTCCTGTGGGAGCAACAGCTTCACTTTCCCTACCTCATGGGTGGCGATGCGGCGCCAAAGGACATCCTTCTGGGGCCGAAGAAGCAATTGTGGAGCTGCACGAAGTGCCACAGGAAAGGCAATTGGGCGTGCAGGATCCGCTGCGCCTGCGGCTCACCAGCTCCAGCAGCGGTTGCCAAGGCAGCCAAGTCGGCGCACGAAAAGGAAGTTGCAGGGAACGGAGCTGCTGGGCAGAAAGGGCCCAAGGGCAGGTGGGCCGATGGGGCGCCTGCATCCTTGGACAAGGCCCTACAGGCGATTGTCAAGAGGCTCGAGAGTCTGGAGAAACCCGCAACCACGGTGGTGGCCAAGTCGCCGCCGTGGTCTGATAAGGTGGATTCAGCTGAGAAGGAGCTCAAGGACAGGCTCGCCCACTGGCAGAAGGCGGCGCGGCTCTCGGTGCACGACACTGACAAGAGGATGGCAGAGGACATGGTTGCACAGCTGCAGCAGCAGATCCAGGAAGGCCCACCTCTACACGTGCAAGCTCACTCAGTCACTACCAGCCTGGAGCGGGCAAGGGACACTGTTGCGAAGTTGGAGAAGCATGTCTCGGACACCAGGGAAGAGATACAGAAGGCGAAGGACGAGCTGGATAAGAAGCTCGCGGACGCTGAGACGGCGCTGCAGGAAACACAACGTCAACAGCAGGCCTTGCAGCAAGAGGCCAAGGAAACCTTCGCCAAAGGCTTCTGCTCCGACGGCAGCGGGCCCATCCTTAAGATGGACGAGACGATTTTGGCGGGTGCCAGTACTGAGTTCAGGGACTGGTTCGTCTCCAAGAAAGCAACGGAGGACGTGCATTTCGAGACGCTCCGCAAGCTCATGGAGGCCCAAGCTGTTGCTGCAAGCGACGCTATTCGCCCTCCTCCTGCTGTGCCAGGGGGTGGTGAGCAAGATATGGACCTCGACGACGCCGATGAGGACATCGACAAGCTTGGACAGGCACAGGCCAGCGTGGCCGCAGCCAAGTCAGCAGCCACCTCAGCAACTGGCGACGATAAAGCCAAGGCTGAGCAGGAGCTTTCCAGAGCCAAGCGTCTACTGGCAGAACAGATCGCAGCCATGGCAAGGAGGCGAAAGAGTGGGTAGCTCGTCCGAGGATGGTCGAATGAGCGGTTCGGCGGCAGCCTCAGGAAACTGTCCGGGCGAGGGTCGGTCCGGACAGTTTTGTCAAGGTGAGCTGTCGCTGGACTTCTTGCTCTACTTCGTCAGCATGCACTACGAATGCTACGAGATATGCGATGTGTTGCCAACTGAGGTTCAACTTGATGATGTGCAGCATGAGGTAGAGGTGCAGCAAGTTATCATGCCTGGCAAGTTTTTGAACGGGAAGATGATTGATGTGGAGTGGCCTGACGTTGGGTTTCAGATCCCCTCTCTGCAGCCGTCCCAGATGTTCGACGATGCCAGGTTTGACCCGAAGTACTACGTGCCAGAGGTTGGCAGCCTGGGCTGTGGGGTCGGGGATTCTGCGCCCGTTCGTCACCCCCCACAGCCCACAGGGACTTCGGGAGCAGGTTCGTCTTCGAGCGCTTCTGCGTCGTGCGGCGCACTCGCGGCTCCTTGGGAGCCGCAGAAGTCGCCACAGGAAGACGCTGCACCACACTCTGCTCTACCTGAGTTGCCTCGACTGGCCCGCTCTTCGGGGTCGAGGCCAAGAGCGACGTTGAGCACGGGTCTACCTGAGCTGTCTCGACTGGCCCGCTCTTCGGGGTCGAGGCCACGAGCGGCGCTGAGCACCGCTCTCCCTGATGCGCCTCGACTGGCCCGCTCCCCGGGGTCGAGGCCAAGAGCGACGTGGAGCACATCTTCAGGCTTGGGTACCTTGTCGACTGCCTGTTCGGCCCCTTTTGGGGACATTCGTCGCCGTGCAGCTGGCCCCGATGGCACGCATTGTCGTACTCAAGCCGCTCTGGCAACTGAGGACGGCAGTGCCGACCATCGGGGGGCCTCGATCGGTCAGAACGCTATTGGTACACTTGGAGAGCCCACTGACATGTGTGTTGAGCCACCTCCAGAGGATCCAGATTCACCTCAGCAAATATTTCTCGATGCGATGATTCTGAGGGCGACTAGATGGATACTTAGACTTGATTGTGAGTCCAGCGGGTACCACGATTTGATGATCTGGTGCGTGCCGTGCGTCATGGCGAAACTTCAAGTGGTCTCTTGGACTGAAGAGGCAGCGGCTGGACGCTCGATTGAGCAAATGGCTCAAGATATCTGTTATGGCTGCTGGCAAAGTTCGGGACCTGGCCGAAGGAACGTGATTGAGTACATGAACTGGGTCGGCAGACGTGAGTCGCATGAGTCTTGGGAAAGGGCAGTCAGACGGCACTTCAGAGCTCTGCGGCACACGCGCAGCGAAATGAGGCTCTATCTGGGTAACGCTGCTCCCCCAGCAGTGCGAGAGTATCGTGAAGATTCTGATGGGGAAATCTTGCCATCTGTTGGGCGTGATGGGCTACCTCTGCCAGCACGTGCAGACGAAGCCCTGCAGCAAGATGATGAGCAGGTACCTCAGCGTGAGCCAGATGATGATGATGCTGCCGATGATCGTCGTAGGAGGCACCCCAGGCACGATGCTCCTGCGCCCTCTCCGCTTCCTAGGCCAGCGTCTACGGCTTCGCCTCAGGACTTGCAGCTACCATTGCTTGATGAAGATGGGGCTGGCCGAGCAGGCAGGGGCGATCAACCTGCCACACCTGGGGCCAAGCGGGTCAGGGCCAAAAAGCAAAAGGACAAAAGCTGGGGCTTTCTGACGTGTAATGCTAATTCCTGGGCTTCTTGGGAAACCGTCCTGGACTGGAGGCTGGATGAAAAGCGTGACCTTCCACCTCCCCACTTCTACGCCGGGCAGGAAACCAGGATCAGAGCCCAGGATGAGATCGATAAGCATCGAAAGGCCCTCAGGTGTAAAGGACTTTGCGTGGACTTTGCGCCTGCTGTCAGCACTGGTGATCATGTGCTGTCAACGTCTGCTGGGGTTGTGACGGGAGCTCGGAAGTTCTTGAATCAGAAGACCTTAGAGGCCCAGGAGATCACCAAGGTGACCCAAGCCGCAGGTAGGGTCTGTGCTAGGCATGTTCAAGCTGTGCTTCCTGGGGGCATAGTCTGGGTCTCAGTTTATTTCTGGCATTCGATCGGGGTCAAGGGCGAGAATGCGGACCTCTTAGCTGGGCTTGGAAGGTTCCTGGAGTCCCTCACCGTGCCCTGGGTCATCGGCTGCGACGCTAACATGGAGCCGAACTCGGAAGGTCTGAAAGCTTGGTGCTCCCAGCTTGGAGCGTCGGTGGTGGCTTCAGCTGAAGCGACGTGCAGTGCAGGTGCTGGCAACAATCTAGATTTTTTCTTGCTGTCGCACGGCCTGAGCCAGTGCGTCGAGAGTGTCAGGGTGCTCCACGACGCGCCCATCAGTCCTCACTCGCCTGTCGAGCTTTGGCTGAAAGGAATCTCGATGTCGATCCCGATCCACGTTAGGCTTAAGAGGAAGCGCTTCCCGACAAAGAAGCCGATAGGGTGTATCAGACAGCCTGAACATAGAATTTGGTCTTGGGATCCTGTGCGAGATGATATCGCTTTCTTGGGCTCTTGGGAACAGTGGCTTACCAATACGGAGTTTGAGCTTTGTCGAATATGCGATATATACGGTGAAGCTAGACAGGTTTATCTTGGGAGGTCCCAAGGGTTCCAGCGGAAGGTCCTGCCTCTGGAGCTGTTTTTGCGGAAGAAGTGGTTCTCCAACTCTACTCCCCAGCTTAGGGCGTGGCGCTCGCTCGTGGCCTTGCTTGCTAAAGCTGAACACTGTGCTGCGAACAACTTCGAGGGCGCGCTCTGGGAGAGCGTCAAGGCCGGCCTTTTTCGGCTAGACGAAGAGCTGCTGCTGCCTCAGTTTTTAGTCATTGCGCCTTCGATCAGCGACGTGATCGAGGCCATCACGGCCACTGATGGCCGAGAGCTGGGTTTTTTCCTGCCCACGGCCAGATCAACGCACGATCACCTGCTCAGCCAGCACTCGCGTAAGAGATGGGCTAAGTGGAAAGCGTGGGCTAAGGAGTCAGTGACTAAGGGAGGCAAGGAGGCCCACAGGTACAGCAAGATGAAGATGCCTGTGGTTGGACCTCGTGGGGACCAAGGTTTTGAGCCCCAGGGGGACATGGCGATCCAGGCGCTCGAGAGTGAATGGAACGGGCGCTGGCAGAGTCATAGGTCGGGGCTTTCCGAAAGGCAACTGGAGTTAGCTAAACAGTCGGAGCCTCTTGGAAGACCCGATCTGCAAGTTGTGACGTGGGCCCTGCACCGCTTCAAGCACGAAACGGGCCTCGGAGCGGATGACATCAACCCTAGGTCTTGGGCCCTGCTGCCTCAGGATTTCCTCATTAGGCTCATAGATGTGATGATGGCCTGGGAGAGGGACCCGTTCAACATTCCAGATAAGTACCCCACGATCATTGTCTTTCAGGGCAAGCAAGAGGGGGAGGGCCTTAGGCCTTTGGCGCTCATCTTGTCGCTTTTCAGGTTCTGGGGCCGAGTTCGGCAGTGTGAAATGAGGGCCTGGGAAGCTCAACATCGTACTCCGTTCTTTTGGGGCTCCAGGGACAAGGAGTGCGACCGTGCTGGATGGCAACATGCAATGCTTGCTGAATTTGCACGTGCTAAAGGATTCGAGTCGGCCACGTTGTGCAACGACCTCGAAAAGTTTTATGAAAGAGTTGCTCCTGGGATCCTGTTTGATGAAGCCAAAGAGAGTGGGTGTCATCTGGGCCTTACGGTTTCGGCTATTGCTCTGTACACGGGGCCCAGGGCCATCGATTTCTCTGGAGCGACGTCTGGGGTCTTTCGCACGACGGGTACCATTTTGGCTGGCTGCAGCTTGGCGACGTCATTCGCCAAGATAGTCTTGTACCGCGTGCTGTGCTGCTTGGCGCAGACCTTCCCCTCCCTGTACATTAGGAACGTCGTCGACGACGTTTCGCTGCAGCTGCTGGGCACTGCCAAGTTCGTGGTAGAGAATCTCTCAGCAGCGGGCATCCAACTAAGACAGGGGTTTGATGACTTGGAGTTGGTCGTCTCGGGGAAGAAAACGGTCTTCTTGGCGTCGGCTCAGAATGTGTCAGAAGGTCTCCAGAAAGCTTGGAAGCATCCTAAGTACACGGCGAAAGTAGCTGTCAGGTCTCTTGGTTGTGATGCCGTATGCAGAAGGCGACTCCGAGGTGCAGCTCGAAAAGCTCGCCGGCTCTGGAAACTGAAAGCGGCTGGTGCTGAGGTCAGTAATGTATACAGAGCGGGGCCTCAAGCGGGAGCTCTTTGGGGCACAGCTGTAGCGGGTCTTACTGCAAGCCAAGTGCACACACTAAGGGTATCAGCGTGCAAGAGCTTATCCAAGCATAAAGCTGGAGCGATCACATCATACAAGCTGCGCACACATGATAGGGGCAGAGCCATGGACCCGTACGTCCTGTATCATGCTAATGTAATACATCAATGGGCGCGTGCGATATGGGATGGCACACTTCCTTTGTATGTGATGCAGTATGTGTTCGAGCTTGCTGTGGATGCAATGTCTTCTACGCGCAGGCCGTGGCTGAGTGCAACTTCGCCTGCGCACGTCTTGCTGCTCACGCTGTCGGAAATAGGTTGGCGGCCTGTCAGTGCGAGGATCTTGTTGAAAGCGGACGGTGGGAAAGTTGACCTCCTCCAGCTTGCCCCTTTGTCGGTCAGAGCTCTGGCGGAAAGAGATGCAGGACGCAGGGCAGATGTGAAAGGCTTGAAGCTTCGACCGTGCCTCAATAAGTCCTGGGTCCGTCCTGCGTTTTGGGAAGGGGCCTTGAAGGTCATCAACGGGGCCCAAAATGAGGTGTGGCATGACCACCATCAGGCGTGTGCTCGCAATTGTTTCTCCATGGGCACCTGGACTCAACAGAGATTATGTGATCAACACCTTGCGCCAGACAATGTGTGTCGTCTCTGCTTAGGTGCCCCAGGGACCCTATTCCACAGGAGATTCGAGTGCGCTGCCTTCGATGCTGACCGTCGTGAGCACCTCAGCGACGAGACCAAGCGCGCCGCCAGATTAGCCTGTGAGCTTGGTCAAGATCTTGAGAAGTTTGCTGCAGGGCTGATGCCAGATCCGCGTGAGCTCACGACTCCAGCGTTATCGACCAGTGAGTGCCAAGTGTTTTGGTTTAATAAGCCTGCTAGTGGGATGTTGTCGGGTCACCTCTTCACTGGTGGATCGGCTCTCGACCCCACCTCTTCCAGGTTTCGTCGAGCTGGATGGTCGATCTGCGCTGTGTCTGCTAATGGTGACCTCATCTCAGCTGCATATGGGCCAGTGCCATTACAGGCGGCACCGTTCCAGCAGGCCCGTGATGGGGAAGATTTCGCGCATGTAATGGTTGTTGACGTTGCTACAGGCAACTTTGAGGCCTACACGGACTGTGAGGGGACCCTGGGGTGCGTCTGGGATCGGCTTGGATCGATAGGCTCGAGTAATCCCAGGGCCCATATGTGGTCTCGTGTCTGGCATGTCTTTGAAGATGGAATCGTGGCCCACAAAACGTTGGGGCACGCCGCGATGAATGATATCCTAGAGGGCCGATCCACTGTCTTCGAGAGGCAAGGGAATCGGCATGCAGACAGGTTTGCTAAGCCAGGTGCGTCCAAACACCCTGATGTCTCGCAGGCCAAGGGGCAAGTAGGTGCCCTTCAGAGCCTCCAGGAGGAAATAATTCGGTGGGGAGGGGTCCAGGACGTCCTCATGAGCCAGCGTTCGTGGTCGGACTCGTCTGGTTTTCCTGAGCCCCCTGATGAGCAGGACGGCCTGGCCCCTGAACCATCCTGGCACGCGAAGGCCAAGAGGCAGCGTGCCCTTGTGCGCAGGTCGCTTCAGGCGGCTGATCGTCTCGGCGCTAGAAGGACCCTGATGAGTTTTAAAACTCCCCTGTTTTCAGACACGAAAGCTAGTGATTCCAGTGCCAAAGCTGTGTCTGAGAGCCAAGCTATCGTGCTCTTGCAAGGTCACAACCTTAGAATGCATAAGGTCTGGGACGGGGCGGGAGCTCGGGTGGCGGGGAGTGGGTGGGTGATGAGTTGCATCAGATGTGGGGGCTACGCTTGGGGCGGGGTTGACACGTTGTGCAAACCTTGTCCCACGCAGCCCCCCACTAAAGATTTGAAGCAACAGAGGAACCGTCCATTTATAGGCCTCTT